TTTCATAATGACTATTTACAGTAGAAACTGCTGTTCCCCAAAAATAAAAGGTCTATTATTTTTAATATTAAAAAAAAATGAAACCCCAACATCATGATCTAGTTAGTTCTGCAAAATATGCACCTTTACATACAATAAGTGGTTCAAATAACATCACTGTAATGTTTCACAAGCTTTTCTTCCCCACCAAGTTTAAGATAGTAAGCAAAAAGAGTCTGATATTTTGTCATCTCTGTAAAGATGAAAAAACACCTTTTAACACATTATACAGCTATACACAGTGAATAGCCAATATTTATTCGCTTAGTCAAACCTGAATTTTATCACCAGCTGATCTTGTTCAGTTGGGCAGGGCACAGACAAACACGTGGAAGGCTTAACCTACCTCTCAGTTATGACAGTTCAAATATAAATACAAAGTTTTAATTCCTATTAAATTGTGCATCAAATAAAAAAACTGAGTTTGACCTGTCAACCTAACTCTTCTTTTGTGTACTTTGGTATGAATTCAAAAACCAAACCTTTTGAAAGGTATTATGAATTCTACATACTTATCTAGGACTCCTTCCTTTAGAAAGGCTTTAGTCATGATCTGCAGCACTGTTTCCAGGACAGTTTGAAGATAAATCTTCAGAGTCTACAGGACAAGCAGAGAAAAAGTGAGTAATTCCAGCTCAGAGGAGGAAAAAAAATGGTTGCTAGACATATTTGTAGAATCTATGTAAAACATTAAATAGAATTCAAGGTTTGCAAGTTATTAATTCCCAAAAACCAGTGAAAACAAATTCTCTTTGGTACAGTGAGACTGGATAGTGTTCTAAGTTTCAGACTCACCTGTCAGCTTTCACAGATTTTTATGGTATTATTTTTAATATCTGAACTTTGTTTTCTCAAAACTAAGTTAATATGAACACAAATTCAAATGACTGTTAGTATAGTTGGCTGTGTTCTGTTGTGGGTTTTTTTGTGCGTGTAAGCCTAAAAATTGGCTTACAACTAAAATGTGCAAAGCTTTGTGCAAAAACCAGCCTGGAAGGTAGATTTGCTGAGTAGATTTAAAAGACTGCAGTAAGAGGAACATTAAGGATATATTCTACTATTTGAGTCTAGCTACACAAGCAAAGTAAAACACACATAGAAAATGATCAGTGTACTCTCACCTTCATAGGTTGTTCCACACCAAATGCAATAAAAGTGTTCTTCTCTCAAATAGGCAGTCAGGATGTGCAGCTTTTCTGATACCTACAGATATATGTACAGGTATGCAATGATCCGGGGCTCACATGGCATAAAACAGTTTGAGCTACTGGTTTGCTAAAATAAATTGTTTAACCTTTTGTAATGGAAAAGCAACACAGTACTGTAGCTCAGAAATACAAAGTTTCCCAAACACGTAAACTAGGGCATGGGAATCCATGACCTCTGAAAAACTAACAGCTGGTGTTTGCTCATCCTTTCCAGCCAAGAACCTGCATGAAAGAGAGAGCTAAAAATATTACTTAGCTACCTGATTTCAAGTATGTGGTAACTTTTGTGGATTTTTTTACAGCTAATTTCTGCAAATTGAACATGTAAGGCTAATGACAGATGTGTAATCTAGTTCCCAAAGTATGTGAATTTCCAATGTCCATTTTAAGGTAATTTGTGAAGCATTTTCAGAAATTACTTAATGACTCAAAAATTCAGCCTCAGACGTAAGGTCTCCAAAATTAAAAGCAAATAACTATGATCTTGCATATCTTGGCTAAAGCACGAAAGTGTTTAGAATTTAATTTCTAGGCTACTTTCTCCACAGATCAACCTCATAAAAGGTGATCAATACATCAGTGGTTTAATGTTTCATATTTTATCATGTAACTGCTAAAGGAGTCACTACTCTGTGATTGCCAAGGGGCCATTGACTACAGCTTGGAAAATTACACGCATACATACATCCTTTATACATGTATCTATACACACGTACTGTTTAAAGGAATATTAAATTTAATTCTGAATCAAGCTATTAAATCAGTTGCAGAGCTTACACTGATGTCTGAGCTTGTGCAGTCATCTTCCTTGTCCTCCTCATCCTTTTTGTCCTCCTCTTCAAGTTCTATCCAAAACCAAGGCTCCTTGGGAACATCAATATCCTTAAATAATGAGGGATTTAAATCGAAGCAGTTTTTTTGTAAGATGACACATAAAACCAGTTTCTAATAGGTGAGATGTTGGGGTTTAAAACTTGCATGTATAGTACAACCAAGAATTAACACGTTGTAGTGGGAAGCTAAGTATACTGTTCCACAAGAAGGAATATTCACTTTTTCCAAAACAATGAAATGCATGCTAATGCTGACAACTACTTCCATTCCATCTGTGTTTGGTATGTGTAAGGCTATATAGCAACACAATCTCAAACCAAGGCTGCAAGCAGTTTATCAGTTGAAAACACGCTGCCCCAAGTTATTTTGTCACGAGATGACATGAAGCTTCCTAATTCACCTTGGGGCAAGTTAAAGGAAGCAGAATCAACAAAGATCTAAGCTAATTCAGCTGACCTCATCTGAAGCAAATGCAGTATGACTGAACAATCTCAGCAGAACTTGTGAGGTAGTATTAACCTCCATCAGGTTAATAGAGAAAAAATACTTAAAAGTTTTCAAGTGGCAAAAAACTTAGAGTAGTTCACCGCTATTACCCATGTTATTCCTTGCAGGTGGAAGGTACTTGGGTCTGGTTTGGTTTTCTTTGTTTAAATGCTGCTTTGGTGAATCTGCTGATTCCCTCAATGATGATCCTTGGAGATATTAAAGGACATGGTCCTGGACAACCTGATATAGGTGACCCTGCTTAAGCAGGAGGGTTGGACAAGATGACCTTCAGAATCCCTGGAAACATCAACCATTTTGTCACGATGTTGCTACCTCACTTGAGACAACTAGCACCGTCATTTAGGATAGCCTGGGCCTGACATTGGCTACTGAAAGATGCACAAACAGCTCGCAAGTAACACAAAAACACAAGAGCAAAAAACACGGGTCCTCACATAAGTTACCATAAGGTTGGTTGCACCTTCACCTATCTTAATGGTGCAAATGTGTATTTAAAACATTTTAGGAGCACTGAAGTGTTGCCAAGCATCAAGACTTCAGGCTAGTTACCCCACAATTTTGGAGAACTTCCGAGAACTGAATCACTACTTTGTTTGTAGACTGCATCTCTAACCTACAAGCCTTCTGTCCAACCCCAAATAAATCCTGATGGTCTCACTTTTTGCATATCTAATTGCTGGCAGGCCCTCTGGCTTTTTCGCAGGTCCCCTTCCATCTTACGTTCTTCTTGTTTGGTTTTGAATCTTGTTCTGTTAAGAAAAAGCAAGAAAGGTAATAAAGTAGACATAGAGTGAGAGATGCATTACAGTCCACAGCTTTTCAAAAATAGAAAACGTAAGACTTTACCCCTATGAATTCTCTCAGACCAGGACAACATTTAAGTTAAGAAGTCATTCTCACATTGGTTCTGTGGGAGCACACTTGGGAATTATACCCTCCAGATAGTGCTTTT